AGATGGAAAGAGACATTCTTTGCTTCGCTGCAGATTGTGGGAAGAAAAACAATGAGTTTAGAATCCAACAGTAGACTGCTTGGGGAACAAGGTTTCCCTTTGCTCTTTTTGTGAAAGTCGGGCAAAGAAGGAAGAGAGAGAGAGAGAGAGAGAGAGAGAGAGAGAGAGAGAGAGAGAGAGAGAGAGAGAGAGAGAGAGAGAGAGAGAGAGAGAGAGAGAGAGACAGACAGAGAGAGAAGAGAGAGAAAGCGAAGGATGAAGGTAGGAGATGATCTGCAAGAAGAGAGCTGATCAAGATCGAGAAGAGAGGAGAGGGAGTTTCTTCTTCTTTTTCTTCCGCTTATGTATCCGTTGTTTTTTTCCAAGCATTCCTTGCTGTTTCCCTTCTACTGCGTCTTCCTCTCTTGCTGACTGAGAAAAGACAAGATTCTTAAGATCAAGGACAGCGGAAGGGACAGGGAAACCTTTTTCGCCTTTGTTATCTGTCCCTTTGAATCTCCTCAAACCATGAACAGAAGACATAGGCACGCAGGAGAGAAAGAAGGCAAATTAGAGCGAACACAGGAAATTAACCCTGCTCCAGGGGGAGAGGGAGCCCCTCTCTGCAACTCACAAAACAATGTTTTCTTCCCTCTCTCTGATAGTCCATTTGCTTCTTTTTGACCTATCTTATTTTGCCCGTAAGAGAAGACAAGCAGTTGGAGACTCTGGGCTGGGCACTCCTGGAAACGGTGGGGTTGGGCGCCCTAGGGAGACTCTGGGGCTGGGCTGGGGTTGTCTGGGGTTGGGCACTCCAGGGCCACTCTAGAGTTGGGCACTCCAGGGACACTTTGGGGTTGGGCGCTCCAGGGATGAGCGAGGAGTAGACCGGGCGAGGAGAAGAGTTCCGGGCGAGGAGAAGAGTCCCGGGCGAGGAGAAGAGTTGAGTTTAAAATCAAACAACCCCACACCAAGGGTGGGGAACAAAGAAGAGAGAAGGGAGATAAGAGAGACGAGCGAGGATGATGGTGGCGAGATTCATGTGCATTCTTGCATGTTCCGTTTTCCTGCTGTAAGAAAAGCGCAACAGAAGTGGGAAAAGAAAGACGAGGCAGGATGAGTAGTGACTGAAATTGGCGCCTTGTATATGTATTTGTCTTTCTGTAACGAGATAGACTATAGAACAGGGATAAGAGGGGAGGGAGAATTTCTTCGCACTGTTGTATGCCCGACTTTCACAAAAAGAGCAAAGGGAAGCCTTGTTCCCCAAGCAGTCTACTGTTGGATTCTAAACTCATTGTTTTCTTCCCACAATCTGCAGCGAAGCAAAGAATGTCTCTTTCCATCTCGTCTTATCCATTTGCTTCTCGTCTGGAAGAAAGGAACAAAGAAGAGAGAGAGAGAGAGAGAGAGAGAGAGAGAGAGAGAGAGAGAGAGAGAATGCGAAGGATGAAGGTAGGAGATGATCTGCAAGAAGAGAGCTGAACAAGATCGAGAAGAGCGGAGAGGGAGTTTCTTCTTCTTCCTCTTATGTACCCGTTGTTTTTTTCAAGCGTTCCTTGCTGTTTCCCTTCTACTGTGTCTTCCTCTCTTGCTGACTGAGAAAAGACAAGATTCTTAAGATCAAGGACAGCGGAAGGGACAGGGAAACTTTTTCGCCTTTGTTATCTGTCCCTTTGAATCTCCTCAAACCATGAACAGAAGACATAGGCACGCAGGAGAGAAAGAAGGCAAATTAGAGCGAACACAGGAAATCAACCCTGCTCCAGGGGGAGAGGGAGCCCCTCTCTGCAACTCACAAAAACAATTTTTTCTTCCCTCTCTCTGATCGTCAGGTTGCTTCTTTTTGACCTGTCTTATTTTGACTCATCTTCTTGCATTTTATCCTTTCTCCTTTGTAAGAACACAGCCAAAGAAGAGGTTGCGGGAGGGTGAACACCTTTTACCGACATATTCCCTTCAATCTACTCGAATAGAAGACGGAACAGAAGACGTCGGAACACGAGAAAGAAGGCAACAGAGGGAGAATTACTGGAGTCTGCCATTAGCTTTTCCTGTCTCCTTTGTAAGAAAAAGCCAAAGAAGAGGTTGAAGAGGAGACGGAGGATGAAGAAGGCAAAATGGAAGGAATGAGCGGGCTCAACCCTGCTCTAGGGGGGGAACTGGGGAACCCCCTTTTGCAACGATCTCGTCTAGAAGATCGGAACAAAGTGTGCGTGTGTGGGTGTGTTGTGTGTGGAGAACAATTAAAAGGTCATATCATACATAAAGGTTCCTGCCACATATATATATATATATATTATATTATTATATTATATTATATTATATTATACTATACTATATTATATTATATATATACATATATATGCTACGCATTAGGCCACCTTAGCCAAAACGTTGATCCTACCGAAGGCAGAGCGAAACGTACCAGCGATACTGACATGGACCCTGTATTCCGAATTTCCTACCCAGCCTGTACCCAGCGCAAAGGAGCCCCAACCTCAACCTATGTAAAGGTCCATGATGGAGTCAAGCCCCAACGTGTTCCTGGAAGATTCAGGCCCCCACAAGAACAAATCGCCATGATCGACACAGTACAGGCGGAGCTCCTCTCCTGCACGTCCACATGCCATGTGGGGAGGCCTTGCGGAGGCCCTGGTCTTGGTCTGGGGCCATTTGGATGCATGTTCATCTGCGGAGAGGCATGGCAAAAACCGGGCCTTTCTGCACACTCTTGAAGTTCACCGCCAGCCGTGGCAGCTCCACAAGATCAATGGTCGGATGGTGCGACCCGGCTTGCGGGTCCACGCCTGGGGAGCAGGTTTCTGAAACCCTCTGCATGAGATCTTCGTCCAAGAGCCCGTGAACGTGCCCAGATTGTAGTACTCCGGAGCTCGGGTCATTGACAAATCTTGACAGACAAATTCGGACACACGGATGCTCTGCTCTCCCTTGCTATGTCTCTGGCGCGACACTTCCGAATACCCAAGAGGTACAGGAGCTCTGCTTTTTGGCTGATGAGCCATGAAGGCTGTGAAACGTGTGCGGATTCCCGCTGCGGACCTGCAAGCTCTTTGCAAGGCCCGCACCGCCAAGGCCAAAGCAAGCCGGAACAAGAGAACCTGGAAAGCGTAAATACACAGATGTGGCGGCAAACGCATTTCGACGTCGCTACCAGAAGGTCCCTAGGAGTCAGTGCCGAGGTCATCAGAATGTCGGCTACCGCGCAACTGACGGAGGAGGCTCCTGCCAAGCTGGAGGAAGTGAACAGCCGGGGGCCTGTGCGCACAAAAATGTACATTAAACATCGAATAGACATTTCACAATACCAACCCCCATACCGAGTATAAATGGCAGAACATGGCCAACATCGAATGCCATATGTGTATATACTCGAATACCAAAAACCAACATCTACCAAACATTTGATATCCCATATACGTACACAAGCATATAAACTCTTAAAAACACAGTTTGTGCGTATATACAATACATAACACATTGTACATATTATGTTCTGGATAACATACAATATGTTCTATTCTATTGCACTATGTTCTAGTCCATAATGCTATACTACATTGTGCTGTATTACTTGAAAACCTTATGTCGTGTAGATAGTGTAGATTACACATTGCATAGGAAATCTTATAACTTTGCATTATATCTGTCCATGTCAAGTAAGGCAATATGGAATTTTTGCGCCAGAACAATTTCGCCGATCAGAATATGTTAGTATATACCACATCGTGCATACGATAAACTATAGATTAATAGTATGTATTGTTTGTCACACACGATGTGTCATAGAATATATAATGAACCTTATTAATAAAGAATGGAAACTACTAGGTTGAACAACTATACTGTGTATGATATATAGACATATGGATATAACTATTTCCACAACACAAAACATGCGGAGCTGGATGTGTTTAGTAGCGATGCTGCTCATGGAGTTAGTTGAAGGCCAACGGCAATCACGATGACAGTAACGACGATATTGACAACGACAGCGGAGATGAATGACGATGGGGATTCTGGCAGCGATGGTGATGTGATGGATGTGGCAGGTTGCGGATGGTAGAAGGAACAAATCTCGATGTGTGGGTGGCGAGTACATGGTGCATGCCAACTCATGCTGATGGGGGTGAATCCAAAGCCCCCGTCAACTAATGCGTCCATTCAGACCTCTCTCTCCTCCTTCCCCCCCAGCTGGCCGAACGTCTTGACCCCACCCGCAGACACAGACAGACAGACACACACACACACACACACACACACACACACACAGACAGACACAGACATACACAAAGTTCATGCGAAGCAGTAACCTAACACCCCCTGTTCCCCCACTCCCATCCTTGATGCGATCAAGGTCTCAAGTGCAAAGGTGGTCTTCCATGCGAATCTGAATTCATTTGCAAAAGCAAGCTGGGATCTAAACATGCACGTCTAAGAGTTACATGCTGCAAAATCCCCCAGATCGGTGCATTAACAGCTCGCTTAGCATCTTCTGAAAAGCTGGAGAAATGAAATGGTTTAATTTGATACGTTTTCTCTACAAAGTGATGTTGATCCGTGTGCTTGCTGTGTAGATTGAAAGCATGCAGAATTCACGCAACCCAACATTTCTTAGGCAATGAAGTCTTGGAGTCAACTGCCTGCACAAGCCGAACCACAAGGCAACACTGGCAGGAGCCTTGTTTCAGGGGGAGGGTGCCATTTCTCATGTGAATATTCAGCCATGTTTATATCTGTTCATGTAATGTTGAATT